GATATACTGGCACTAGAAAAGGTTCAGAAAAGGGCAACTAAAATGATTAAGGGTTTGGAACGGGTCCCATATGAGGAGAGATTAAAGAGGCTAGGACTCTTCAGCTTGGAAAAGAGGAGACTAAGGGGGGATATGATAGAGGTCTATAAAATCATGAGTGATGTGGAGAAAGTGGATAAGGAAAAGTTATTTACTTATTCCCATAATACAAGAATTAGGGGTCATCAAATGAAATTAATGGGCAGCAGGTTTAAAACAAATACAAGGAAGTTCTTCTTCACGCAGCACACAGTCAACTTGTGGAACTCCTTCCCTGAGGAGGTTGTGAAGGCTAGGACTATAACAGCGTTTAAAAGAGAACTGGATAAATTCATGGTGGTTAAGTCCATGAATGGCTATTAGCCAGGATGGGTAAGGAATGGTGTCCCTAGCCTCTGTTTGTCAGAGGGTGGAGATGGATGGCAGGAGAGAGATCACTTGATCATTACCTGTTGGTCCACTCCCTCTGGGGCACCTGGCATTGGCCAATGTTGGTAGACAAGATACTGGGCTAGATGGACCTTTGGTCTGACCCGGTACGGCTGTTCTTATGTTCTTATGTTATGTAACAGAATTGTGAAGACACATAGATGAACATGATTTGTTGGGGAACAGTAAACACAGCTTTTGTAAAGGGAAATCACGCCTCACCAATCTACTAGAATTCTTTGAGGGGGTCAACAAGCATGTGGACAAGGGGGATCCAGTGGATATAGTGTAGTTGGACTTTCAAAGCTTTTAACAAGGTCCCTCACCAAAGACTCTTCAGCAAACTAAGCAGTCATGGGATAAGAGGGAAGGTCCTCTCATGGATTACTAACTGGTTAAAAGACAGAAAACAAAGGGTAGGTATAAATCAGGGGTCCCCAGCGCGGTGCCTGTGGGTGCCATGGCACCCGCCAGGGCGTCTAAGTGCGCCTGCGTAGTGGCCGGCGGACGAGCATCCGCCGAAATGCAGCCGAGAAGCAGCGTCATCCAGAGGCGTCGCCGCTGAAATGCCACCGATTTTCAGTGGCATTTTGGCAGCGACGCCTCTGGGTGACGCTGCTTGTCGGCGGCATTTCAGCGGCGCCGCCTATTGACGTTGCCACTTGTCGGCGGCATTTTGGCGGATGCTCATCCGCCGCCACGGTCCTCCGTGGCTCGTCGTCTGGCACCCGCCAGACAAAAAAGGTTGGGGACCACTGGTATAAATGGTCAGTTTTCAGAGTGGAGAGGTAAATAGTGGTGTCCCCCAGGGGTCTGTACTGGGCCCAGTCCTGTTCAACATATTCATAAATGATCTGGTAAATAGTGACGTGGCAAAATTTGCAGCTGATACAAAACTACTCATGACAGTTAAGTCCAAAGCAGACTGCGAAGAGCTACAAAGGGATCTCACCAAACTGGGTGAACTGGGCAACAAAATGGCAGATGAAATTCAATGTTGATAAATGCAAAGTAATGCAGATTGGAAAACATAATCCCAACTCTACAGACAAAATGATGGGGTCTAAATTAGCTGTTACCACCCTTGAAAGAGATCTTGGAGTCACTGTCGATAGTTCTCTGAAAACATCCACTCAGTGTGCAGCGGCAGTCAAAAAAGCTAAGCGAGTGTTAGGAACCATTAAGAAAGGGATAGATAATAAGACAGAAAATATCCTAATGCCACTATATAAATCCTCGGTACGCCCACATCTTGAATACTGCGTGCAATTCTGGTCACCCCAGCTCACAAAAGGTACATTCGAATTGGAAAAGCTGCAGAGAAGGGCAACAAAAATGATCAGGGGGCTGGGAAAGCTTTAGTATGAGGACAGATTAATAAAACTGGGACTTTTCAGCTTGGAAAAGAGACAACTAAGGGGAGATATGATGGAGGTCTATAAAATCATGACTGGTGTGGAAAAAGTGAATAAGGAAGTGTTATTTACTCCTTCACATAACACAGGAACCAGGGGTCACCCTATAAAAGTAATAAGCAGTAGGTTTAAAACAAGTAACAGGAAGTATTTCTTTACCCAACACCCCGTCAATCTGTGGAACTCATTTCCAAGGGATGTTGTGAGGCCAAAAGTATAACTGGGTTCCAAAAAGAACAAGATAAGTTCCTGGAGGACAGGACTATTAGCCATCAGTGACTATTAGCCAAGCTGGTTAGGGACACAACCCCATGCTCTGGGTGTCCCTAAACATCTAACTGCCAGATGCTGGGACTGAACAATGGGGGATGGATCACTTGTTAATTGTCCTGTTCTTTTCATTCCCTCTGAAGCCCCTGCCCCAGCCACTGTCAGACGACTGGATATTGGGCTAGATGGACCATTGGTGTGACCCAGTGCGGCTGTTCTTATGTTCTTATCTATCCATCTATGCATCCCCATACATCCCCCTATCTAATCTATCTATCTATCTATCTATCCCCATCCACACCCTCTAGCTATCTATCTAGCTACATCCTCCCCTCTATCTAATCTATCTATCTATCCCCATCCACCCTATCTATCTATCTATCTATCTATCCCCATCCATCTATCTATCTATCCCCATCCACCCCCTCTATCTATCTATCTATCTATCTATCCCCATCCACCCCATCTATCTAGCTAATCTCTCTATCCCCATCGAGGGTGACCAGATGTCCCGATTTTATAGGGACAGTCCCAATTTTGGGGTTTTTTCTTATATAGGCTTCTATTACCCCCCACCCCGTCTCGATTTTTCACACTTGCTGTCTGGTCACCCTATCCCCATCAACCCCATCTATCTATCCCCATCCACCCCATCCATCTAATCTATCTATCTATCTAACATAGCCCACAAAAATTATTTTAAACTTTTCTTATGTCAAAAAGACTCTCCTCCCAGATTTAACAGAAAAGCATGAAGTGCAGACTCCATTACCAGAGCCTGTAGAAAATTAAATGTTTAAAAAAAAATTGGGAAAAATGTACAAGAAGGTTTTGTTGCTTTGGTTTTCGAGCTGGATCTATTCACACACACACACCCCTCCATTTTCTACTGATTTTCTTTTAAAAAGCAAACATACATCTGTATTTTTTTAAAATGAGATCTACCTTTAGAAAATGATTTTTTTTAAATGTTGGACAAATTCAAATGCCATCCAAGGAGTTAAGTGCCGTGTGCCCAAACTGAGCAACCCAAAGCGGAGAATGAAAGAAAAACCAGTAAAAACTTTGAAGAGATTTCTTTTAAATCAAAACTCCTGTGATTGCCAAAAATGTAAATTTTGCAAATTGGAAAATTAGCTATTAAAAAATTTTGGACCGATTTTTTTTGGAAGGGAAAATGGGCTACCATGTGACAAAACTGACCAATCCAACATGGCAATGAGGAAACAACAAAAACCAATAAACAAAAAGCCTTGAGTTGATTTTTTTTTAAATAAAAAATTTTGGAGGTGCAAAAAATTGTAATTTTTCAAAATGGGGTTTTCTAAAGCAAATGATTTTATTATAAATGTGGAACATATGCCACAGAGACATTACACTGACCAACTTCAAACTGCCAAGAGAAGAAAATATAACCACCATGAACTCATTTTTTTTTTAATTGTTTCTTTACCAAAAATTGTAATTTTGGAAAATAAAAAATTTATGTTTATTTTACTTTTTTTAGAAAATGATCTTTACATTTTGGACTAACGCTTCCCTGGGACCACACTGGCCGATCTGAACTGGCAATAAGAACGAATAAATAAATAAATAACCCCACCTTGAAGAGATTTTTTTTTTGTCAACAATTTTTCCATTTGCAAAAATTGTAATTTTTACACAGAAAAGAATTTATCTGAACATTTTGGAGACTCAATGGAGCAACATAAAGTGGCAACGAGCAGGAGATAATAATAATTATTGTATAGTACCAGTAGATTGCAAAGCGCTTCACAAAAGAGAGACTTTGGCAAAGGGAGAAACTGAGGCACAACAGAACACAGGTTTGCTGCAGCCCTGTGCAGTGCTCTACCCACTAGGTCGGATTGCTCTGAAGAGAGTCCCCTGTAAGACATGAAGCTGAAGGGGTCAGCATGGGGGTTGTGGGTTGGATTTTAGATCTTTATTTCTCTTTTCCTTTCTGTTTAATAATTCTAATATTTCTGGGTTCTGACCTACCAGCTTCTACTACCTTGTCGTTAAAAAAGGGAACAAAATCTAAATTTTTAAATTAAAAATATTCAATTTAAATTATATTTTTAATTTGATTGCATTCACTTTAAAATGATTAATATTTTAAATCATATTATTCTATTTTACTTTTAAAATGTTAACATTTTAAATTTTCAATTTTTTATTTTCACTTTTATGTTACATTTAAAATGGTTACAATTTTAAATTGTATTTTATTTTTAATTTTTTAATTTTAATTTAAAAATTACAATTTTACATCTTATTTGATTTCCATTTTTCATTTTCATTTTCTTTTAAGATTATTAAAAATGTAAATCTGATTTTAATTTTTAATTTAGATCATTTACTTTAAAATTTATTAAAAATGTAAATCTGATTTTATTTTAACATTAATGGTTTTATTTTATTCTATTTTAATTTACTTTATAGTTATTAAAAGGTTAAACTTTCAATCATATTTCATTGTAATGTTTCGTTGTGGCTAGTTTAATTTAGTTTAAAAATATTAACATTTTAAATCTTACTTTAATTTTTAGTTTAATTTTATTGTCCTGTACATATAAAATATTTTATTTTTGATGTAACCATTGTTTTAAAAGGGATTTTCTTTTGTTGGAACCTCAATTCTATCTTAAAGAAGTATTTTTTGGTCTGGGAATCTCCTTAATTAATTAATTAATTTAATTAATTAAATGGTTTATGCCCATAAATCCAACTTCACAAAGTTTTTTGTCTGGGAATTCCCTTGCTTCTTGTGTCTCTCCCTGGGATGTACCATGTGTAATGAGTTGGGGTGGGGGGTCTCAGCCTTGCCGTGGGGTGGGTCCTTGCCATGGGATCTACCATGTGCGGTGAGTTGGGTGAGATCTCAGCCCGACCCTGGGGCGTGGGTCTCTTCCAGTCATTCCTGGGGGCTGTCAGTGTCCCCCGATTGCACAATGGGGCTAACTGGGGGCTGGTTTCAGGGTCAGCTTTGTGTTCCCCGGAGCTTGATCCCTCGGTGCATTTCCAGAAGCGGCACCACAGCTGGACGAGTCACCCCCCCATCCCCAACAACACAGTGCCCCTCCCCCTACCACATATTCCCCTCCCCAAAAATGAACCATCATTCTCCTGCCTTCTCTTATTACCCCTCCCCACCCCTCTGATCAGACCCATGGACCCATCTACCCTGGTATCCTGTCCCCTGGATCAGACCCACAGGCCCATCTACCCTAGTATCCTGCCCCCTCTCTGCACCCCGGATCAGACCCACAGGCCCATCTACACTGGTATCCGGCCCACCCCCCCAAATGGGCACCCCCTGCTCCCTCCGCCCCCCAAAGGAGTTCGCAGACGGCCATACAGAGCCAACATCTTTATTGAGTCCGCTGGGTGAGCGCCTGGGACAGCCCCTTAGTATGACAATATGCGCCCCCCCAGACACAGTCATTCCCTTCATGTGCCCCCCCCCCGACACAGTTGTTCCCTCCTCCCCACATCCCTGGAGGGATAGTGCCTGGTGGGGGGGTGGCTCCTTCCCCCGCCCACTGAATCCCCAGGGGTTGTGGCATCACATAGGGCAGTCGCTAGGGGCAGCAGCCCTGACCCCCAGCCTCACTCCATCCCTCCGGGACCTGGCAAGATCCAGGGGTCCCTGCCCCCCTCTTCCTGGGATCCCAGTGCAGCTGGGGCGGGGCTGAACCTCAGCCTTGCTCCATCCCCAGTGACCCCATCTCCCAGGGACCCCTAACTTCATTCCATCCCCGATGCCCCCCATCCCCAGGGAGCCCAGTGCAGTTGAGGGGGCCTGACTCCCAGCCTCACTCCATCCCCCCGGGCCGCCGGTGCTCTCAGGGGGTCCCCACCTCCTGGCTGCCCTCCCCTGCCCACCCAGGCCGGCCCTCACCCCCGTCAGCCCAGGCGCCCGGCCCGGCGCCCTGGTAGCAGGCCTCGCGGGCGTGTTTGCGCTTGGCGTGCCGCCGGAGGGTGTTGCGCTCGGTGAAGCGCAGGCGGCAGAGTGGGCACTGGTAGGGCTTCTCGCCCGTGTGCACCCGCTGGTGTCGCAGCAGCTCGCCCGACTCCCGGAAGCCCTTCTGGCAGACGGCGCAGCGGAAGGGGCGCTCGCCGGTGTGGATGTGCCGGTGCCGCTGGAGGTGGGAGGCCCGCTTGAAGGCCTTGCCGCAGGCCCGGCACAGGTGGGGCTTGTGCTCCGAGTGGCTGATGCGGTGCCGCTCCAGGTCCGAGAGGTACAGGAAGGCCCGCCGGCACACGGGGCAGCAGTGCGCCCGCCGGGGGGCCGGGGCCGGCCCCGCCTCCAAGTCCCGCCGGGACACCGTGTAGGGCACGCCCTGGGCGTCGATCAGCAGCAGGTTGTCCTCTGGTTGGCCCTCATGGGGCGATGGTGGGACGCCCGCTCCTGCTGCCTCCGGGGGGAGGAGCCAGCCGGGGCCGGCCAGCCGGCTGCGGTAGGGGCCCCGTGGCTTCGGGGGCGGGGCTCGTGGGGGGTCCCCAGCCCGGGGCCACCCTGTCAGGGCCGAGTGCAGCTTGGGACCCCACGTCGCCCTTGGGCCTGGCTTGGGGGGCTCCGGCTGGGCCAGCGACACCCCCGGGCACTCCGGCCGCCTGCCCCGGGCTGCAGCCTCGCCCCACTTGGGCGTGGGCTGGGTGTAGCGGGCACTGGCTGGCCAGATCCCCGTCACCTCCAGGTCCTGCCAGGCGTGGCTGCCAGGGTGGCCCTCGCCTCCCTCTGCCGTCTTCGAGGGCGGGCTGCCCCCCTGCGCGCCGTCCCACTCCCTCCGCTGAGCTGGCTCCATCCGGCGGCTGTGTCGGCACTCCGTTCGCCTACCTGGCCATCGCTGCGGGGCAAGGGGACAGGTTGAGAGCTGGAGACGCCCCAGAGGGTCCCATCTACCCTGGAGCCAGGGCGGGATCGTTCTGTCATCTACTCCCCGCCCCCGACACTGTCAGTGATGGAGAATCTACCAGTGGTTAATTACTCCCACCATTAAAAAGGGATGCCTCGTTTCCAGTCGGAATTTGTCTAGCGTTAGCTTCCAGCCATTGGATGGTGTTAGATCTTCCTCTGCTAGACTGAAGAGCCAGTTAGTATATATTTGTTCCCCAGGGAGGTACTGATAGCTGGGGAACAAGTCACCCCTGAACCTTCTCTCTGTGAAGCTAACTAGATCGAGCTCCTGGAGTCTCTCCCTCTCAGGCGGGTTTTCTCACCCTTTAGCCGTTCTCCCGGCTCTGCTCTGACCCCTCTCCGATTCATCACCATCCTTCCTGAATGGTGGGCACCAGAACTGGACACGGGATCCCAGCAGCGGTCGCCGCAGAGCCAGATCCAGGGGTAAAATAACCTTTCTGCGCCTACTCGAGATTCCCGTTTCCCATGATTGTATTAGGTCTTTTGGCCACAGCGTGGCACCGGACTCCTGTTCTGCTGATTATCCACCACGCCCCCCCCAAATCTTTGTCAGAGTCGCTGCTCCCCAGGTGAGAGTCCCCCAGCCCGCACGCACGGCCGACATCTCTGTTCCTAGCTGGATACACTGGCATTTAGCCGTATTAAAACTAGGGCTGTCAAACGATTAAAAACATTATTTGCAGTTTTAATCGCACCATTAAACAATAATAGAATACCAATTGAAATGTGTTATAAATATTTGTCGGTGTTTTTCTACTTTTTCAAATATGCTGATTTCAATTACAACACAGAATACAAAGTGTACAGTGCTCACTTTATATTATTATTTTTTATTACAAATATTTGCACTGTAAAAATGATAAAAGAAATAGTATTTTTCGGTTCGCCTCAGACAAGTCCTGTAGTGCAATCTTCTCACCAGAAAGTGCAATTTACAAATGTAGATTTTTTTGTTACGTAACTGCACGCAAAACCAAAATGATGTAAAACTTTAGCGCCTACAAGTCCACTCAGTCCTACTTCTTGTTCAGTCAATTGCTCAGACAAACAAGTTTCTTTACATTTGCAGGAGATAATGCTGCCTGCTTACATTGCACCAGAAAGTGAGAACAGGCGTTCACATGGCACTGTTGTAGCCGGCGTCACAAGATATTTACGTACCAAATGCGCTAAAGATTCATATGTCCCTTCATGCTTCAACCACCATTCCAGAGGACATGAGGCCATGCTGATGACGGGTTCTGCTCGAGAACGATCCAAAGCAGTGTGGACCGACGCATGTTCATTTTCACCATCTGAGTCAGATGCCACCAGCAGAAGGTTGATTTTCTTTTTTGGTGGTTCGGGTTCTGTAGTTTCCACATCGGAGTGTTGCTCTTTTAAGCCTTCTGAAAGCATTCTCCACACCTCATCCCTCTCAGATTTTGGATGGCACTTCAGATTCTTAAACCTTGGGTCGAGTGCTGTAGCTATCTTTTGAAATCTCACATTGGTACCTTCTTTGCGTTTTGTCAAATCTGCAATGAAAGTGTCCTTAAAATGGACAGCATGTGCTGGGTCGTCATCCGAGACTGCTATAACATGAAATATATGGCAGAATGCAGGTAAAACGGAGCAGGGGACATACAATTCTCCCCCAAGGAGTGCAGCCACAAATTTAATTAATACATTATTTTTTAACAGCATCATCAGCATGGAAGCATGTCCTCTGGAATGGTGGCTGAAGCATGAACGGGCATACGAACGTTTACCATATCTGGCACATAAATATCTTGTACCGCCGGCTACAAAAGTGCCATGCGAATGCCTGTTCTGACTTTCAGGTGACATTGTAAATAAGAAGCGGGCAGCATTATCTCCCGTAAATGTAAACAAACTTGTCTGTCTGAGCGATTGGCTGAACAAGAAGTAGGACTGAGTGGACTTGTAGGCTCTAAAGTTTTACATCATTTTGGTTTTGCGTGCAGTTACATAACCAAAAAAATCTACATTTGTAAATTGCACTTTCTGGTGAGAAGATTGCACTACAGGACTTGTCTGAGGCGAACCGAAAAATACTATTTCTTTTATCATTTTTACAGTGCAAATATTTGTAATCAAAAATAAAAATATGAAGCGAGCACTGTGCACTTTGTATTCGGAGTTGAAATCGATGTTTGAAAACGTAGAAAAACATCCAAAAATATTCATAATACATTTCAATTGATATTCTATTGTTTAACAGTGCAATTAAAACTGTGATTGAACACGATTAATTTTTTTGAGTTAATTGCGTGAGTTAACTGCGATGAATTGCCAGCCCTAATTAAAACGCATCGTTTGCTTGCACCCAGTTTTCCAAGAGACCAGATTGCTCTGAGTCAGTGACCTGGCCTCTGCGTTATTTCCCAGGCCCCCAGTCTTTGTGTCATCTGCAAACCTGAGCGGTGATTTTATGTTTTCTGCCAGGCCATTGATAAAAACATTAAATCACGTAGGGCCAAGAACCGTAGGGACCCCACTAGAAATCACGTAGGGACCCCACTAGAAACACGTGATGATTCCCTGCTAAAAGTTACATTTTGAGCCCTCTCAGTTGGCCAGGGGTTTTTTTAAGCCATTTATTGTGGGCCACGTTCATTTGGTATCGTTCTAGTTTCTTAATCAAAATGTTGTGCGGTACCAAGTCAAATAACTTGCAGAAGTCTAAGGCTATTAAATTGGCATTATTATCTTTAGCAACCACTAGATGCCACTCCCCTTGCAAAGCTGGAGAAAGAACCCAGGAGTCCTGGCTCCCAGCCCCCCTGCTGTAACCAGCAGACCCCACTCCCCGCCCAGAGCAGGGGATAGAACCCAGGAGTCCTGAGTCCCATTCCCAGCAGCTTCCTGCTCCTGTCCTCCAATCCACCTTCCTTCTCATCCCTCCTTTCCCCCTCTGGCCCCCCACCAATTC